ACAGCTATTGTTGTTTTTGTTCGCCTTGGTAGATATAGATCAATAAAGAACTGTTATTCCTATTTTCTCATCCTTTTGCCCAATAGCCCCCTTAATTTCGAATTATAGTAATTCGGAGGGAAAGGGGCTACATCTGTCTATTCCAAGGGAGGCTTCTGCCTTTTTGGCAGACACCTGTCTCTCAAGCCGAGACAGTCACATTCTGAATTACTGCACTTGCTTTATTAATTCAGTAATATCCATTCATCTGTTTGCTTTAGGCCTGTAGGATTATAACATATGCTTTATGCATAATTAAATTTTCTTGCATGTGATTTTGAGGACGAAAATCTGGGCTAAACGTTATTGCTCCATCTGAATGTTGTCTTAGGTGATGCAGCAATTTAATATTACCTCCATTTTCTTTAGCTTAGAGTAGTTCAGAATTCTTCTAAGGAACAGCAAGACTTGATGAAGAATGTGTGTGATTTATTGATCCCTTTCATGAGCTTGTTCTCTGTGATTTTTTTTTAACTCCCTTTCCTGTCTCTACAAACATGTATCAGTCTGCAAAACATAACTGCTATCAGGGACATTACAAAGCACTGTGAAGCAACATTAGTCTAAGTTGCTTCAGCAGAAGGTAAAGAATATGGCTAAAATCTAGTGTCTGTGTCTGGCAGTATGTCCAACTGTAATATCAGCTTATAGTGGAAGAGCCTGTGAGCCACATAGATCCCAAACTCTATGGCCTGGCTGCCCCAGCTTTAGTAATGTGGTGCCTTTGTGGATATTCTTATGTGGCTGGGTTTTTTTTATTTTGACAAACAAGCATTATATCTTTTAAGTATATTGTATATATTAAGTAATGGCAGCACAGAAAAGGGAAGGTGTCAAAACTGGCTTGATACCTCTATTTAGTATGTTTGACTCCATTACAGAATTGATATCACTGAGTGTTGCCTCTGCTTATTGCAATTACAATAATTTTGTCAATGAGATAGGTGGTTCTTAACAAATGGTATTACCTGCAGGTTTGGCATCTAGGGTTGAAAAAAATATCCATTCTTAAGGAAAACTGAAATCTGTTGCTGGATGGGCAGAAATTTAATGCTTATCTTAAAGAGGAAAAAAAAGACATCTTCCCAAATCAGTTCAGATTTTAGCTGAGAAGATAAGTAACTATGGAAATACCAAATCAGAGAGAACCAGTTCCTTTGTTGAGAGCAACTTATGGTGGTGGTTTCAAAGTAATGCAGGCTTTCTACAAGATGTAGGAGTGCCAAGGGAAACCCCTCTTCATCTTTCTTTTTCTTCTTTAAATCTTGAGTGATTAAAGTTCCTATTTTCTAGTCATATTTGTCTCCTCAGAAGGAAACTAAATTAATACACGTAACAGAAAAAAACCCATACGGTCAGGGGTGAAAAAAACCCAAATCAAACAAATTATATTATTGGTTCAGGGAGGCACATAGCAAGAAGGAATTTCAACAACAAATGTTTTATAGTGCATGTATTAGCATGATGTGATGTTAGGCATTAGTGTGTCATATGTGTTTGTTTTTCATTTGTCCTACGCTAATCGTGGAATGGTATCTGACACCCTCGTGAAAGAGTCAATAATCAGAAAGCCCTTATGTTTGCAAAATATGGAGATTGTGATGGCTTTACCCTCAAAGAACTCTGCCAAATATATTAATATGTTCTTTGAGGTCATGGAGTGATTTACAGTAATTAGTCTTGTGTTCCTCTTCACTATTCCTTTGCTCTGTTCCAGACGAGTTTCTCAATATTTTGCTGGATTGTGTCAGGTTAATTTATATTCAGATCCTGCTTTATATTACAAAGAGAATTGATAAAATCTTGTACAAACTTACTGAAGTGAATTGTATTCTGGAAGCACTTCTAGTGTGTACTGGTCAAATGAATCCTTTTGATAACTTGTTCTTCATAATTTTTAAGTACGTGGAACCACAGTAAAGGAAAAGATATGCCATCTTATTCTTCTTCTCCTTGCTTTGCTCCTATAATCTTTAATTATAAATTGCCTTGAATTGGCATCACTCTCTTGTCATTCTCTTTGAGAACCAAGACAGCAAGACAGCTGTGATCTGAAGAAATAATCTTTTTTAAACTGAAGTACTGTTTTTTCCAGTATTATAATTGATGATGAGAATTATGGACAAGTTTATACTGCTAAACAGCAGTAATCGTAGTAGAAATTATCAAATTCTGTATAACCATAGAAATGTCTTAAAAGTGCAGTCTAAAAGTTTTAAATACTTTTTTTGAGGTGACACTATCTACACTCACTGTGAATCTCTCTCTTTTTTTTTTTTTTCCCCCCAGATAAGGATACTAAGCATGTTGAAGCCATATGGCAGCTTGAATAGCTCACGTTAAAAGTTTTGGGAAAGAACAGCTGAACACATACATGCTGAATCTTGGAGTTCTGCCTGTGGAGCTGGCCAGTCATTCCTGTCACTAGCTAGAAGTGCTGTTCCCTCGAGCTTTTGATGTTTATGGCACCAGGTTCTGATGCTACTACTGCTTTTCAAATGTCTGTCAGATTGCTTGGATTCAGGGTTTTTTTTTTCCCACTGGAGCACAGGCATGGGAGTTCTGCAGTTTCAGGCTGAGGTGCTAGGCAGGAGCTTGCTGACTTGAAGACTTTTCTGCTCTGATTTTCATTT